ACATATACACACACTCATAGATGCAGACTTACTGTAAAATGACAGCAGTAAGATCCCTCTCCTAGATTCTGACTTATTGGGAAAGTGTCCCCCCGCCCACCCCAGGCCTTGGTCCTCACAGGATATGGGGATTGGATAGTTCTGAAGTAACAGAGATCTAGGAGTCTGTCCTGAAGCAAGACTATGAATCCCAGAGGACCTGATCTGCCCAGGTCCCCCTAGTGGCACAGGGCCATCTGGGCAGGCCCATGGAATAAATAAACTTACCTGAAATAAACATATTTGAAGGAGCTCTTAGAGAGAGGAGCAGAGTGGTGTGTCTGTGCCCACATGAGGGCCAGGATGGTCTAACATTAGAAGTGCACATTCAAATCCAGAAACATGCACTAAGTTCTCAGATGGCGACTTGAATGGAAAAGGCAGTCAATGAAAGGGGAGAAAAAAATGCTGCCTGGGGGCAAGAGAGGTAGTACAGGGGCTAAAGTGCTTGTTGAGCAACCAAGCCAGGTTCAACCGCTGGCATCGCATGGTACCCCAGCACCTCTGGGTGTGGCCTCGGAGGCCACTAGCACTGCCAAGTGGACCCTGTAAGTCCTAATACGGCAAGGCCTAAATAGCACCGCATCGTTGGGCCCTCACCTGGTTGGCCGACAATGGTGGGGAGAGGCCCCTGGGCCCCCTGAGCATCATTTGGAGACTGCCTTGTCCCCATCCCCACCCCCCCAAAACAAAACAAAACAAACAACAGAATCTAATCCCAGAGCCAGTGCAATGGTGCAAGAATGGGAGTCCCTTACTCAGCGCTTAGGCTTCAGTGGGCGAGAATCACATGTGTCATGCACAGTTTTGTCAGTCCAGACTGATGGGGTGCTGGGGCATATGCTTTCCTCTGCACTGTGGCGAGGCACAGAGTTATGATGATGGGAGGATTCCAGAATAGTGACTCGCAAGTTCATGACGCATTTAAGGAGGTTTCCCAAGAAGTGACAAAGGCAACCTCTGTCGTCCTCCATAGCTGTAAAGGCCTGTGAACTTGGGGCTCTTTCTCACTTCCCCTTTGACTGGGTGTTAGATTCGGATCAGCCAGGCAGCCCACACAGGCTGGGGATCACTTTCTGAAAACAAGTTGCCCACTTCCTACAGGTAGAGGGGCGATGCCGTGGCGGGGGTGGGGATGAGTAAGGGTGAAAGGAAGAGGGGGGTGCAGGAGCCCCCTTTCTCCTTTGATCCACCTTATGCTGGGCACACACCTGCAGTCTGGAGCTCAGAATTCTCCACCCGTGCTTTGGCTCTCAGGGGCCAGGCGGCACCCAGCACTACACACAGATGGGGCTCAGAGGGGCGATTCTGGACTGCACTTGTTTCAAAGGACAAACTCAGGTCCAAGAGGTCCCACAGCTGGTGGAGTTGGGCCAGTGGTTTGAACACTTGAGTGTGTCACAGAGATCCCCGATGTACAGATTTTTTTCAATTGTAATTGATAAGCAAATATCTCATGGGTGGAATATTCAATGACCAGAGTAGGAGCTGATTTCTGCCCCCAGATTTCTGTGTTTCTTTTTTCCACAGTTATGGAGGTAAATCAGGATTGTTGTAAAAATTTACACAATAATGAAGCGTGCAAAGTAGAAGTAGAAATTCCCCAGAGGAACTGCCTTGGAGGAACTGCTTGGACCATGTCCTTCCCAATATTTTTTGATGTATGTACAAACAAATATGAGTCAAAGTTTTTCTATAGTATTGGAGGGGAAAAAACTCAATTTGCAGAATAAGATTCAATTTTCTATGCTCTATGTTTCTTTTGTATGCAGTATGTACATATATATTTTTAATGGGGCTTCAATTATTGACTTTTAAAGTATGTGTAAAAAATTCGGAACAGGTAATTTTTAAATACTGAATTTAAACATTTCTGCAATGCTTTTGTATTTGGATTTTTTGGGGGGTAGATATTTAGGAGTAAGATTTGACTGTACTCAGGGCTTAGTCCTGGCTCTGTGCTCAGGAATCATTCCTCACGGTGCTTGGGGTCATATTTGGTGCTAGGGATTAAACTGGGTCTGCAGGTGCTAGGCAAGTAACTTACCCCGTACTAGCTTTCTGGGCCTGTACTTGAACCTTTACAATCTCTCTTTACGGAAGTTTATTCTCTCTCTATGTCTATATCTACAAATGAAAGTTCAAATATCACAGTGAACATGTCTGACCAGCTCCCACAGAGAGGCAGAACCCCAAACCCTGTTTCCGCTTGTAACGATCCTCCTGTTCTCAGGAGTCAGATCTGACCTCAGAGGCACATTTACATTGCCTGGTTCTACTTGTACTCAAGCATCAGCGATGATCATGTGTTGCGTTTAAAATGAGAATCCTCCTCTTGTGCGCCCAAGAGCTCTGCCACCACATGAGCAGCCCCTGGTCACGACAACAGCAGCAGCTGTTGAAGGACAGAGGAAACCAGACAATAAATAGCTGCATAACAAGGAGAACAATGGCTAGATGTTAAGTATGTGCAGATGTGGTGGCCACTGCTTGATGCTGGGACTGTGTTTCTAGCTCTTTCCTTACAAGCTCTTTCCTTACAGGCCGTGTGACAAGGGCTCTCACTTGCTTCTTCTGATGGACGTTGGGATTGTTTCCTTTTACTGGGGGATAGAGGGGACTAATAAGCATCACCACTTGAAATGGTTCAGTGCCAGGCTCAACCGGCAGAGGAGGGACATGTTTTGCCATGTGGAAGGGCCAGGTTCTATCTCTGGTACCTCATGGTACCCTGAGCACCGCTGGGAGTGACCATCAAGCACAGCGAAGGGAGTAGCCCCTGAGCACTACTGATTGTGGTCCCTGAAGAAAAACAGAGGGGCTGGAGCGATGGCATAGCGGGTAGGGCATTTGCCTTGCATGCCGCCAACATGGCCGACCCGGGTTCGATTCCCAGCATCCCATATGGTCCCCCGAGCACCGCCAGGAGTAATTCCCGAGTACATGAGCCAGGTCTAACCCCTGTGCATCGCCGGGTGTGACCCAAAAAGAAAAAAAAAAGAAAAGGAAAACAGAAAAGAGAGAAAACAAAAAGGAAGGGTGTGATATGGATTTCTCTGTGCATGCCCCTCTGGAATATATTTATTTAAGGTATTCTCCTTGTAAATGGAGTTGCTTCTCAAATGCACTGGTGGAGGGATGGGTGTTTGATCATTGTGTGACTGTAACCCAAACATGAAAGCTTGTAACTTTCTCATGGTGATTCAATAAAATTTTTAAAAAATTTAATAAATATACTAGAAATCATAAAAAAAAGAGATTACAATAAAAATTTTTTTGCTGAAATTTTGCACAATGGCCCTCCAGAAAGTAGCAACAACTCTGCTTCTTCTTCAAAACAAAAGTCAGGTGCAGGGTTGTAGACCTCCTTACCGCAGCCCCCACCGCTGGTAGCCCAGCCTGCTCCAGCTCCCCAAACAGCCCCAGCTGAGCCGTCTCGGCAGGTGCCTGAGGCACAGAAAACAGATAGAAGTGCCCACAGCCCAGACTCACTCATGTGAACTTGCAAGCGCCTTAACATAACTGCCACAAAAGCAGTGAGATGCTGTTAAGTGACAGAGCCTGTCATGGGACAGGCGTGAGGCCTGCTCTGATTTTGCTGTGGACTGAGTAAGTGTCACGCAAGGCAGCGTGACCCTGCACTGTCTCTCGAATACGGAGCCTGTCAAAAGAATGTTGGGGGGCTGGTGCCTGCCACTAGAGGCTTTCCCTTCCCTCAGCCTAGGGAGAAAACCTGCCCTGAGGTGCTTGGAGCTGGTGGGCAGGAAGCATTTGTTTACTTGAGTCCTCCCATGTCGCCCACCCACATGTCAGGGACTTCTGCATCTGACTTGGTTTGCTAACATCTTTAAAAAGCCTCTCCCCTGCATCAAGTTGGTCAGGAGATGCAGGGACGCTGTATTTCTTGGACTTGGCACTCTGCGGAGACTAACACCTGAGTTGGTTTTTCTCTTTCGTCTCAATAGTTCAATTCCTCCGCCCCTCTTGGAGAGCCCGGCAAGCTACCGAGAGTATTCGATATGCCAAACACAGTAACAACAAAGTCTCCAATGGAGACGTTACTGGGCCCGCTCGAGAAAATCGATGATCAACGGGAAGGCCTTTACCTTTACCTTTATCTCAATAGCTCTGAGGCTGTAAAGGCCAATGTGGGGCGCTAAGGTAAGAGTCCGGGATTTTTCCAAAAGATCTTTTTCTTGATTTCCCTCTTTATTGGGGGGATTTCACCTTGCATTTTCCTTTTCTAGCCATTGAAGTGGAGGAATAATAGGAACAAACAACCAAACAACAAAACAAAAACACCAAAAAGCAAATGGATGTGTAACGGACACCCAGACACCTTTCACCTTCACTTTGGTGCCAGGTTCCCCCTGCCTTGAGGTTAAGAGTCCTGAGGGTTCCAACCTCAACGGAATCGAAGGGTGCTAGTGAAGGCAGCTTTGGAGTGGGCAAAAGAAGGGTCTCGGGGGCACCCACTGCCTGGTTCCAGGTTTCCTGACTCTCCCCACCTTCTGTAGATCTTCCTTTACCTACAACACAGACTACCACATATGACACATTTGTGGGGACAAATGAGCTCAGACACACAATGTAGATGTGTGCATTTTGGCGTCGTGATGTCTTCTCCATCACTGTATCTTTGCTGAGCTGCTGGGTCTTTGTGCTTCCACATCACAGGAGCCACTTTATATTTTACTCAAGACTTTATTTTTACACAGCATTTTAATACAAAGAATAGAAAGGGAGAGGCCGACAAGTCAAGGAAGAGCAGAAGTATAGGGGAGGAACTTCGAATGCGAGATTGAAGTATCTCTCACCCCCCCAATCAGCAGTCCCTCGTCCCATGGGAGGTGCTCGGAGACTGAGATGACTTGGGGAGTTAGGCCAGTCCCTTTTGGCAGCTTCTTTCCAAGCTGAGTATGATCTGGGACTCTATGGAGAACTGTCAGCCCCGACACCAAGAAGACCAAAGGGAAGTCATACAGCACAATCCCAGAAGTAGCTCAGGACTGTGGTATGGCTCTGCCAGGGCCATTGAAGAACTATGGCTAGATGGCCAACGCAAAGTTGTAGCCCAGCCCAGGGCCAGGCGGGGACCAGATGTGAGGTCATGGCAGCATTTCTTACAGGAAGTGACCTGGAGTTTAGGCTTTCTCTCTGAGATTCCCAGTGCACACCTCAAAAGTTCCTCCCATGCCCTAAGAAAAGACTCTGCAGAAGTGAAAAGCAGGCAGCTTCAGCGGATCAGTGAAATGTCAATGGTTGAGTATATCTCTTCTCTTTCCTTTCTCGGCTTGCAGTCTTCAATGACTTTGACTTTGACCAATGACTTTTTTTGCTGCAGGCCACTAACGGCGAAGTCTCTGTTCATCTATAAAACCTGAAAACAACAGCAAGTTATGATACCACTTACTTCCTGCCGCAGAGAAAAATGACAGATAAGCAGGCAGGACTCCATCCCGAGAAATCTGGAGTCGTGAATTCTATGAGTATGTTTTAAGGGCCTGTCTCAAGTTATCTAAAAAAATTTAGAAGCTTTGGGGTTGGAGAAATAGTTTGGTGGGCAAGACACTTGCCTCGCACATGGCTGAACTGGATTTCATCTCTGATACCCCTTCTGGTCCCTGAGCACCTGAAGAACTGATACTTCTTGAGCACAGAGCCAAGGGGGAAACTCTGAACAAAGCTGGGTGTGTTCAAATTGAAAAAAAAAAAAACCTAAAAACTCATATGAACAAAACATCATTGAATCTAGCTCTGAGTGCCGTGACTTCCAGCAGAGTCTTCTAAGACAATCTATGCACAAACTCCAGTCTCGGGGCCCAGAAGAAAGTGACCAGATTGGGGTGGGCGGGGGGTGGGGGGGGGATGATTCTCCAAGACCAGGTAGAAGTCGGGGGAGGTTAGTCTCCAATCCCAGACTAGGTTTAGAACAGCTGATCTGCGAGATGGTTTTCAAGTACGTTTTTACCTTCTTACATCACTAATTCTCTTGTTCCAGTGGCATCTTATAAGTAAGTGTATGACAGTAGAACAGAGGTGCTATGAGTTAGAGTGTGCATGGGGGCGCTCCCAGTCCCTTCTCCCTCTCAGACCATTCTCAACTTCCGGTTTGCCAGAGCAGGAGATCCTGCATCCAGATCCTTCAAAGCTGGCATCAGCTCATTGTGGAACAAGCTGAAACAAAGGAATGAGTTGGAAGAAGAGGAGCAGGTAGTCTACAGACTGACTCATTCCATAGAACATTCTGGGTGTCTAGCTGTCTAGCTTAGGTCAATTTACCATCTTTTACATAGAGGGAGTAAATTTAAAAAGTATGGTGAAAATTGCACATAGCCAAAATTATTATTGAAAATGCCCCCCCTCAGTAGACATATTTAATAAACTACTGTTAAGCAACTATCTATATACATAGGACATGCATAATAAAGGTAAAGGCCCTCCCGTTGATCGTCGATTTGCTCGAGCGGGCCCAGTAACGTCTCCATTGGAGACTTTGTTGTTACTATGTCTGGCATATCGAATACTCTCGGTAGCTTGCTGGGCTCTCCGAGAGGGGCGGAGGAATCGAACTCGGGTCGGCCATGTTGGCCGCTTGTAAGGCGAATGCCCTACCCGCTGTGCTATCGCTCCAGCCCATGCATAATAATATACAGCAAAATATAGAGACTTTACACAGGAAATAACCATTTGTTTCTTTCTTCATTTTGGCTTTGGGACCACATCCAACTGTGTATGCTCAGGGCTTATTCCTGGCAGTGCTCAGGGATGGGTCCTGGGAGATGCTTGGATCAAACCGTGTGTAGATCAAGCTGGGGTCAGCTGTGTGCACGGCAAGCACCTTAGCCCCTATACTATCTTTCCAGTCCCCTATTTTTTTCCCTAAAATTTTTTCACACAGACCACCCGGTGATGGAGGCTCTAGAAGTGCTTACCAAGTCCATATCCCATGAAGCTCAGGGGTTTAAGTGCTGCTGGGGATCAAACCCAGACTTCACATGTGCTAAGCAAGTGCTCTGCTTCTCGGGCTATGGTTCCAGCTCTTCTGAGCCCCTCTAAGCTATCCAAGAACACCAACGTGTGCAGGAGTTGGGGTGTGGCAGCCAACGGTCTCTGCCTCTCACAGCCTCCGGGCTCCTATCTGCTTCCACAGTTCAGCTGCCCAAAGAGAGGGTCTAGCCCTCGGCTCTGTGTGACTCAGCTTATGGCTTTGCCAACATCTGCAATTCACGTCGGGTGGAGGGAGGCAAACAGTGGGACTCAAGGCGGGAGAAGACCCAGTGCCAGCAGGGAGGGAGGCCACCAACTGGAGGGCGGGGGGCTGGCCTGGGGCGAGGTGGGCCTTAGATCTCTTTCTGTCTTTACTTCTTTTGATTAAGTCTCTGCTGAGATCTGTGAATAACTTGCCTATGTCTTACAGGCCCAAGTGGAATGAAATGACCAGTGAGAAAGAGCTTGAGATATTCTACCACACCATTTTTGTTGGGGGCGTGGTGGGGGGGGAGTATACATCCAGTGATGCTCAGTGGTTATTCCTGGCCCTGCACTCTGGAATTATTCCTGGTGGTGCTCCTGGGACCATGTGGGATGCCAGGGATTGAACCCGGGTTGACAGCATGCAAGGAAAACACTGTGTCCACTATATCTCTAGCCCCCTCGATCACCCTCTGAGCAGCATCAGGAGCGCTCAGAGCTCAGTCTTCCATACCTGAAATATACTTAAATGACTAATCAGTACTTGAGGTTGCTTAGGTTCTTTTCCCCCAACTCTATCACCCTGGTTATACATTTATTTATTTATTTATTTGGAGGTTCTAGCAGGGGAGCGCAGCTACTCATATACCCTCGACCGAAGACCGGTCCGTCTCTATCGGGGAAGGCCGTCCTCTTCGACCGAGCGCACAGCTTCGGGAGGGACGCACATGGAGCGGTGAGGGAGGAAGGGGACACCCGCCTAGCCAGCCAGATCAGTCGAATCAACCCTGGCGATCAATGGGGTGACAGATGTCGCAGCCAGATCGCCCTCACATCAAACTCCCCGTGGCGTACCAAATATGCCAAATACCAGTAACAATGATGGGTCTCTTTCTCCTAAAGAGCCTTGAATATAATCTCAGGGCTAGGATGAAAGAGACGTTACTGGGGCCTGCTCGAGGCAATCGACGAATAACAGGATGATGAAATGAAAAAAAATGAAAAATTTATTTATTACAGAGCTAGGGGACCCAGGGGGCTGCCCCCAATGACACTGTCTGCAGGTTCAGACCTAAGGCTAGAAATTGCCTGGTGGTGCTGGGCCACCAGTGCTCGAGGAAGAGACACGTGGTGCTGGGGATCAGATTGGGGTCTCTCAGGTGCCAGCCTTGGACCACGATTCTGAGCCATATAGCCTGGGGCTTTCGAGATCAATGTCTGCCTTCCGCTCAGTGCAGAACTGTGAGCTGTGGCAAGGGTTGGGAAGTCGGGGCCCCGGCTAGGGCAGCAGCTGGGGCATACTCACTGTTTTAAGAACTGAATCTGGGCTCTCCTCTGAAGGCCTGAAAGAGAAAAGAACAGCAGTGTTTGTTACAGGCTGTGACTGCTGCCCCAAGCCCTAGAGATGAAGGAGGTTGACAAGAGGGGGCACTCACTCTCCAGACCACTTCCCACACCACCTCAATGCGCTGAGTGGTCACAGCTGATCTGACAGCTGGCCACTATCCCTGTGATCTCTTTTCTGTACATGGCTAAGCGTAAGAGCATCAGGGACTGACTTTATTCAGAGTTAAGGAGTTGATGCTTATTCCAAGTTCTATTGCTAGTGAGTAGTAAAACCAGAATTCAAACTCGGTTAATCTAGTCCAGGCTTCAGGAATTAAGTGGAGCAGGAGCACTGGGGTGGGCTGTAGGCTTTTCCCCTGGGAAATGTGCAGAATGGTGACTGCAGAGAAGATCCTGAACACATCTGTTGACTCCTTTGTTGCATTCTATTTTTAAATTATTTTAACAACATGCATGATATGTCAAATAAATACAACAAACACAGTACTTATGTACTTATGAGAACAACAAAATTTGACTAGTCAGGTCCTTAATGAATGTGTGTACTGGGCTTTAATGGACTTCCTCAGACGGAATAAGGGGCAATTTGTGCAAGTATGAATGTACACGGGATGTTTGCTCTGGGCAGAGGGTCCACAATTGTCATCACACAACCAGTGAGGGGCTCCTGGAAAAAAGCCACCTCCGAGTTGGGGTCCCAGTGGGTCCCCCGCACCTGTACAGAAGCCAGAAGAAACAGGCTTGTGTGAGGAAGGGCTCGACAGGAGAGCAGAAGGATCAGGGCAGAGCTGGGCCCTCAGGCAGCCGTGGGGGCCTCCCAGCTGCTCTCCTTCACCTAATGAAGCCACACAGAACTGGAAGCCCCCCCCCCCATCCCCCAGAGGGAGCCGACCCAAGCCGGTGCAATAGGGAACAGTGACCATCTGTTTCCCTGACCTCTTGGCAGAGGAATGTGAGGGCACAGCCCCCAAACCCGGCATCCCCACCTCCCATCTGTCACTGCTGGAGCTGAGAGTCACAGAGCAATCGGGGTAGAACTCTGCAAACTGCACCCTGGCAGAGAGATACCACGGGCATGATGAGGGGCTCTGAGGCCCAGGAAGGCAGGGTGTACACCCAAGGCCACTAGATCAGGCACAATCACAAAGGATTCCAACCCAGGCTTGAATGACTCCTGAGGTAAGAGAATCATATCTGGAACCACCCAGGACTCTGGAGGAACTGAAGGGGGAGTCACGCTTCTACCAGGCTGCTCTCCGCAGAGGAGAAAGGACCCTCAGGACCATTTCCAACAGGTTGATGGCCCCAAAGGGGTGACTTACGGTGACGGCGGATGGCCACCCCCAAGCACAACAGCAGAACCAGGATACCAGTCATCAGCAGGCCAAGGGTGATGAAACTACAAGGCAGATCTGGAAGAGACACACTCACTGAGCATCTGACAACTGTGGAGATCCCCGGGACGTACCCACAGAGAACGCCGATGGCCGCAGAGCCCGTAAAGCTCAAACACAGTTTCCTATATAGATCTTTTTTGTCTTCTATTCACATTTAAAAATGATTAATTAGACTCAGGATCTATTTACGTTAAAAAGAGAGAGACCAATTTTGGGCAGGTACCTGAAATGTTGGCTGCTTGTTTTAGTAACTTTTGTTTGAAATTCACAAGAAAGAGCTGAGTGTTTCCAGCATAAAGATTCATGTAAAAAGTCCAGGGCCGTGGCTTAAGTGGTACAGCCTTGCAGATCTGACTGGATTTGATCCCTGGTCACTCACCTTCCAACCTGGAGGCCCCAAGTACTGCTGAGGATGGCCACCACAAGAGTATTGACAACAACGACAAAGATTCAAGTACCAGAGTGACCCTGGAGGGTAGATTGCATGCTTGACATGTGGCCTGGTACCACATGATACCTACTTCTACTGGGTATGGTGAGCCCCTTCCCGAAAACAGTTCCCCTTGACATCACAGAGCAACTGCCATTATTAATTTGGTATTTTTCTCTTTGCATTTATACATAATTTACATAGAGATATCTTTTTTAAAAAAATATTGTGACTCGAGGGACTGCATTGATCTGTAGGCATTTCCCGACTCCCTTAAAGGTATTAGCATACTTTTTCCCCAGAAGAGCAACATTTGACAGTACAGGTGTGCCACAAATTGTTTTGCCACCAATGGTCACCTTGATGGTTTCCTGTGCTTATTTTTTGCAAATAACTTTGCTGAGAACATTCTGATATATTTATCTGTATGTAGGAGGCTTTCTGAGCAGATACCAAAGAAACCACTAGTCATGGTCCAGGCCCATTTTATTTATTTTTGGGGCCTTTTATTTCTTGGAGCATTCCTGGCAGTATACTGGGGCGACTACTGGTTCAGGTTTAGGGTTGCTTCTGGCAGTGCTGAGGTGACATGTGGTGTGAGGGATTGAACCTGGGCCACACATGCAAAGCATATGCTCCAGTCCTCCGAGTTATTTCTCAGTCCTGTCCAGACCCACTTTATATTGTTGCCAATACCATGTTAGCAGGCTGGAGTGATAGCACAGCAGGTAGGGCATTTGCCTAGCACATGGCCAACCCGGGTTCGATTCCTCCGTCCCTCTCGGAGAGCCCGACAAGCTACTGAGAGTATCCCGCCTGCACTGCAAAGCCTAGCAAGCTCCCCGAGACATATTCAGTATGCCAAAAACAGTAACAAGTCTCAGAATGGAGACGTCACTGGTGCCCGCTTGAGCAAATCGATGAACAACAGGAGGACAGTGCCGCCATGGAAACATTCCTCAAAGACTGCACTTTGCTTCATTCCAACCACCCACTGTGCATCCGGCTAGCCTTGACACCAGCAAAGGTTTTTAGATTTTAATCAGTTCGTGTCTGGAAACTGACATTTCGGAAAACTTCTGTTTTCTGATTACTCATAGTGTCTGCCTATTTTCATACAGGAACCCCTGTCCTGGCTTTGCTCCATGATTTGCCCATGCGTTCTTTTATCCGTCGTGTATGCTATTCCAATGGCAGAGCTCACATTTCAGTGCCCCAGCTGGAACCCTGTAGGCCCCTATAACTGTCCCCTGTGAGTAACTCAGGGACAGAACCTGGTCAGGTGGTAAAAAGAACAAGGCTTCAGACTTGAGCTGGAGTTAAAAAAAAAAAAAAGAGCATTTTGGATGTCAAGGAAGAGAGAGAATGTTTACATTCTCTAATAAATAGTGAATATGAGACTAATTTTAAATTTCCATCTGCCAAGGAAGATATGACTGTTCATTTATCACTCTCATTTTATAGCCCAGAAAACCAAGATTCAAAGAAGTCAAACTCCATGACCTCGCAAAAGCAGGCCAGGGCTTGGGATATCCCAACACTTTGTTTATGTTTGGTGGGTTTTTTTTGGGGGGGAGGGGGGGTGCACAGCTGGCTGTGCTCAGGGGTTACTCCTGGCTCTGCATTCAGGAATCACTCTTGGCAGTGCTTGGGGGGACCATATGGGTTGCTGGGGATTGAACCCTGGTCAACTACGTGCAAGGTAAAAATACCTTACCTGCTGTACTATGCTCCGAGGAGCCCCTGGGGTACCTCAGTTCTAAAGTACATGCTCCTCCCACTTAGACCCCTGAAAGGCAGGAAATGAGTGAAGGGGACAGCATGGGCTGAGGTGAGTATGGAGGGGAGACGGTGAGTTCTTCCCCCCACTCAATCCAAAGTTTCTGCCTGAGTCCCCCTCTACTTCCCCACGCTCTCTCAACTAGATGAACCTCAACTTATCTCAGAAATGTGACAGTAAATTAAAGAAGTCAGGCACAAAAGGGTCCACATTGCCTGATTCTACTTATCTGAAATGTCCAGAGAAGACAAGTCTGGAGACAGAATGTGGACTTGGTGGTGCCAGGGACCAGAGTGGGGACTGAGAGGAGATGGAAATTAGCTCACGGGATCTCGGGGTGAGAGTGGGGGGATGGATGAGACATGAAGGTGCTGATGGCTGCAACGCCTGGTCAATTCATCCCTGATGCATTCATCTAAGATGGGGGAATTTTTCATTTGCAAATTACATCTATATCAAGTGCTGGCTTGTTGTTCTTGGAGCCACATCAGGGGGTGCTCGATTCGGTACTAGGATAAAGGCTTTGGTGCCAGGTGTGTGTCTTCATATCACTCCTGAGTGGGCTGGGGAGTGGACAGATGGCTCGGGGAACCCCTTTGTCTTATTGGGCCTCCTTGCTCCCCCACCGTCACGGTGTACATCCCATTCTTCTCTTCACATATGCATCTTTTGTGTCCTTTTTGCATTGTGCCCGGCTTGAAATCCTTTGGATGAAGTTGTGGGACATGAACCCTTTATAAATGCGGCTGCTCCTGCCCCTCTATGTCCCCAGCCTCTGTCCTCCTGCACACGTTCCACTTTCCCCTTCCCTGGGCCTCACGCAGCAGCCGCCCGACCCTGACCCAGGCCCCTCCTCTGCCACAGTCTGGCCTATACCTGATGGGTTTAAGATAAAGCGACCCCAGCAGCTCCAGGCAGCTCTGCTGTGGCTGCTTGTTGTTTGACCTTGGGTTAGAACAAATGGGACTTCATTTGTCACCAGGAACCCTGGCAGAGCAAAGGTTTGTATTTTTCCAGAAACATGTTTGGCTTGGGGCTTCTAGGGAAGTGTAAAAGTGGTATGTGTGGTGTGAGGTGTGTGTGGTGTGAGGTGTGTGATGTGTGTGTTGTGTGTATAGTGTGCCTGTGGTGTGTGTAGTGTGTGATGTGTGTGAGTGTGCGGTATGTGTTTGTTATATGTGTGGTGTGTACACTGTGTGTGCGATGCGAGGTGTGTTTGATATATGTGGTGTGTGTTGTGTATGTTGTGTGTCATGTGTGTGACATGTGTGTGCATACTCCAGGCATAGAGTCAATACTGATGTGGGGGGTGGTTGTTCACTCATTAACATTCACAGTCACGGTTTTTTTTTTTTCCTCTTTGGGTCACACACGGCAATGCACAGAGGTTACTCCTGGCTTTGTACTCTGGAATTATTCCTGGAGGTGCTTGGGGGACCATATGGGATGCTGGGAATTGAACCCGGGTTGGCCGCGTGCAAGGCAAATGCCTTACCCACTATGCTATTGCTCCAGCCCCCAGATCTCATGTTAAGTGTCAAAACTTTGATAATGGTGAGAGATAGTACAGTGGGTAGGGCACTCGCCTTGCATGTAGCCAATCCCTGGCACCCCATATGATCCCCCAAGCATCAGCAGGAGTAAGTGCTTGATCCCCAAACACAGAACCAGGAGTAAGTCCTGAGTCACAGTCAGGTGTGCCTCCCTCCCCCAAAAAATACTGTTTCTTTGGGTTGGTGTGTGTTTCCTAATAGCTGCACTGAGCTATAGTTTACATACGATAAAGTGATAATTTTATGACATACACAAATCTCACATCATTATATTGTACGCTTGAAACTAGTGTTATATGTCAGTTATACCTTAACAAAAAGATTCACCCAAGGTGTAGCATTTGGCAGGCCTCTATTCTTTAGGACCAACTCATGTGCAGCTACATGGAGATTCCACCGCTCTGCAAACTGGCGACAGACATATGAGCAGATTCTACTTTGGGACCATGGTCGATAAAGCTACTTTTGTGACAAATTCAGCCTGCACATCACTTCACAGTTGCTGTCTGCATTTCTCCTCATCTAGGCTGTATGTGAGCTGACAACGGCCCTGAGGTTACCCACCTGGGGCCAGAGGAGCAGCCCAAGGAATCCAAACCCGCACTTGGGAGGGGCCTATGAGGGGAGTGGTGGGAAGAAGGAGAGAAGCAGTTTTCCTCCTCAGGGTCTTTTAAAGAAGAAAGGGAGGCGCTTCAGAGGGTCTTGGGTGTGGGGTGCAGTACTCACCCTTCTGGGTCACAGGGCTTGGGAGTCGGCACACTTTCTTCTTGGGGGTGGACTTCGTGGTGGTCTGGGCAGTGGTGGGAAGAACATCGACTGCAGCAAGCAAACAAGACACACGTGTGAGCCGGGCGCACAGCAGGCGGGCCAGGGCTTACTACAAAGGCGCCTCTTCCCGCCAGGGCCTCAGGTCCCAGCACCGCTGGGACGCTGGCATGAAGTTGGGGATCATCTTGTTCTGGAGAGCAGAAGCTCCCCTGATTAAATCACTCGGTGACTGGGGAAGAGCCCTGTCACTCTGCTGTATGTCCCTCTCCCTGTCCCATTTCCTTCTCAGGGTTGCCTTGAGGGTTTTTTTTTTTCTTTTTTTGCTTTTTGGGTCACATCTGGCGATGCTCAGGGGTTACTCCTGGCTCTGCCTGCACTCACAAATTACTCCTAGCGGTGCTCAGGAGACCATTTGGGATGCTGGGAATTGAACCTGGGTTGGCTGCGTGCAAGGCAGACACCCTACCCAATGTGCTACCGCTCCAGCCCCGAGATTTTTAAGGGGTGCTTGTGCCCAGCCAAGTGAACAGGAGATATTGGCTCCACCCAGCAGAACCCAGGACAGAACACACTCCGCATCCAGGGAGTGAGGTGGTGGTCCTCAAGACGCATGGTGGGGGACAGGGAATATGGGGAGTGCTTATCCTGACCCCTGGTCCCAGGTGGGTGGTTCCCCCTCAGCCTGATCCAGTGTCACCTGTGTGGGAATAAGCCAGAGGAACACATATAGTGAGTGCAGGTATGGGGACTCCGGGCTGTGGCCTGAGCACAACCCTTACCTTTGTAGGTTGAGGAGAGACATCTCACATCAAAGACTTCTACGAAACAGGAGACACCGTGGATGTTACTTACATTCAAGAGATGAGGAGGGGCAGCCAACTAGTCAGTGGCTTGGGGTTCGCGCCTTCCATTAAAAAGAAAGAGCCTGGCTGCAAGCCCCACACCAGCTGTGCCAGCCACATCACCACACCAGGAAAACAAGGTGCGAGAAGGGGATTATTGTTCTTTTTGTGTTTGGGGCCATAGCTGGGGTGCTCTGGGCTTACACCTGGCTCTGAGCTCAGGGATCATTCCTGGAAGCTCTGGGGACCAGGTGCTGGGGATTGAACTGTGTCAGCTGCATGCAAGACCCCCCCCCTACTATGTTTCCAACCCTGATCATGGTTCTTTTTAAGTGGGCACATGGGTCCCTCACCCCCAGAGCCACCCTTGGAAGTGGAGCTGATGTGTTTTTCTCTACCTGTTCCCTGTGATTCTGGGGGAAACCCGGTCACTGACCGGGCGCTTGCTCAGCTCTTGGTGCTTAGGCTGGTGAGCACTGCAGAGCTCACTGGGTAGCCCAGTGCTTCAGGGGCTGGTGTTTTGATCTCTAGTTTAGCCCCCAAAAGTGGAGATTTGAAGAAGTCACTTGTCCAGGTTGAGGCACAGTAAAGCCGAGAGGTCCACTCTGCAATGACGGTCTCCTCTATCTGCTCGATACCTCCTCTAAGGTGCATGAGCTGGGTCAGGGAGTCAGCTCATAGACTGGAGTGGATGCGGGAGTCTTGGGATCTGTGCCCTGGCAGAAATGGGCCCTCAGTACTGTCGGCTGAGGCCCCAAAACACCAACCCCTAAACCCAACAGAAAATAACATGCATGACCTTCTGGGCTTTACTGTGCCTCAACCCTTGTCAGCAGCGATAGGTGATCCACTTTTTCCCTGTCAGCCAAGACCACCTCACTGTGCTGGGCATCTTTAGAGTCAAACCTGAGGCTCTCAGGGACCTCCAGAGTACTCTGGTGTTTGTGGTGCTGGGAATTGAATCAGGCTCCCATGCAAGGTTCAGGCCCTAACTCTGAAATATCTCTCTGGCCCTTTTATTTTTAAAAATATGGCTATTAGAAAATTTGAAGCAGCTTGTAATATACTTCTACTGGATAAAAATGAATTTATTCATAAGTGGGTCCAGCTCTGAGATCTGGAGGGGAATATTGGGGATGATCAGCAGCCCCATGACACAAGAAAATCGAGGCCTGGGAACTCAAAAGGCCTGCCAAAGGCACAGGATGAATTTACAACCAAGTTTGCAGCTGGGCTGGAGAGAACTCTGAGTGCGGCTTCAAGCCATAAGCCTTCAAGATGAATGTGTGGGCAACTGCCCTCTGCTCACCCCAAAACTGTTCTCACTGCTGAATACAGCCAGAGACACCTTTACCCTAGTGTGCATTTTTAAAACTATTTTTGTTTTGTTTTATTTTTTGTTTGGTTGCCACATCCAGCGAAGCTCAGGGGTTACTCCTGGTGGCATTTGAGGGACCATCTGGGGGGCACGTCTACAGCCTGTGTCAGGTCTGGGCACTCAACACAATCCAGCTCGTCTCACTGGGCCTGATGTGGCCAAAGGTTAGCATTGATCGTCCCCATCAGAGCAAGGAGCTCTTAGTTTTTGGAGGTGACTGGAATTTTACATCCAGGGGTGTCCAGAAGCTATCCTTGGCCTATGTTTGGAGCTCCCCCATACCAGTGATCAGGGGACCATGCGGTGACAGGAATCAAGCCTGGGTCTCCTGCATGCAAAGGCAAGCAAAGCATGTGCTCAGCCTACCGAACAATGGCTCTAGCCTCCAAAACTGAGAGCGTCTAAGCATCTGTTTATAGTGGGAAACTTAACAGTCCCTACCTCCTAAAGAGCTCGGCAGTATTGTGAGAAAACCCTGTGAAACCCTTCCCTGTGTTTGATGCATGCAGTTACTCTCAGCCAGAGGCTCACGGCTGCCATCCTACAGAGCAGGGCATGCCAAGAGTCCCTGGTTCCTGCATGGGCTCATGGTAGGTGCCCCACCCTTACTGACAGTGGAAATCCAGGTTCTTACCCACATTCAGTTGAGTTCCCATCCCAAAGATCTTCTTTCTGTGGATATTCATACAGAAGTAGAGGCCACTGTCGGAAGGTGTCAAGTTTGTGAGATTGAATGTATATCGGTCCCTCTCCATGTGCAAAATGAGCCTCTTCTCCACCATCGTGCCATATATTCGTTGATCTGGGGGTTTCAATTCGCCCAGGAACTCTAGTTGACAGTCTGTGTTGAGGGGCAGGCACTGCTTCACCCAGGTGATGATATTGGTTGGGAAAGAGCCTTTCATTTCACAGGACATTATGACCATTCCGTTGGTCTGGACCTGTACGTTCCTCGGGGTCTGGTGTAGCACCAAGTCACCAAGGAGAGCTGTGAAAAGAGAGGAGCAGTGACCATCAGCATGAACACAGGCCATAGATGTGAAACTTCTGAGTGCCCCTGAGCAATACAGCAAAGGAAGGGCTGGAGCTGTGACTCAGAGGGGTCACAGGTGCTTTGCACTTGTGAGACTCTATGTTTGACCCTGGCAACACACACACACACGCATCAAAAGAAGTGTGTGGAAGCCCTGCCTCATTGCAGGGTTCGGGGGCTGTGGAGGATGCAGCTGGTGGCTCCTGGACTGAGGGCTGGAGCTCCCCACTTCTCAGGGGACCGTCTGCGAGGCAGGTGCTTACTCTGCCCAGCTTTACTCAAGGGACCGGGGAGAAAACTACCAGGGGCCGACTGAGTCTTGGTGTGCCAGTCTCCTTACATACATGATCTCACCCCAGCCTCCAACTTGGCCCTGGGGTTGCCCTTCCCCTTGCCCTGCTGCTAGTCTGTGTAGAACTGCAGGAGGCTCCGAGTCACTGAAGAGAAACCAGGGAAGCTGGGAACAAAATTCCAGGACACAGGCAGAGCAGAGAGGACCAGCTCCTGCTTCTGTACAGTGATGATGACTAGAACAAGAAAACTGATGACCTCTGGGAAGCACAACTAGAGCCCGGGCACCCCAGAACCAGGACTGGGGTTCATTTCCATCTCAGGCGAGGGTCACCAGCAAGGTGACCAGAGCTAGATTTCGGAAGACTAGAACAGAACTCCCAGGTGGGTCCTCGGACTGTGTGCTGCGCCAGCGTGGGGCCCTTCCAAGAGGGCAGTTTGGTGCCTGTCTCCGAGGATTGAATATACAAGACAGTGTGCTACAAACTGTAGAGCCCTGACAATTGTGGCCTGTGAGTCTTTTTTTTTCTTTTTGGGTCACACCTGGTGATGCTCAGGGGTTACTCCTGGCTCTGCACTCAGGAATTACTCCTGGTGGTGCTTGGGGGACCATATGGGATGCTGGGAGTTGAACCCGGGTTGGCCGCATGCAAGGCAAACACCCTACCCGCTGTACCCGCTGTGCTATAGCTCCAGTCCAATGACCCATGAGTCTTGCATTCAACTTTTAGTGTTTTTTTTTTGGGGGTGGGGGCAGTGGCAGGGGCCCCTGGGGTGAATCTCAGTGATACTCGGCTAACTGTGTGGATGGTTCAATGCCTTTACCCTGTAGTGCTGGGGTCTACCAGAGCCGTGGTTGGTGCAGGGATCAAACTCAGGGCTTTACACATGCAAAGCATGCACCCCTGTCTCCTATACTCTTTCCCCAGGCCCCTGAAAGAAATCCTTTTTACTCCTGGCTTTGGGTCCAGACCCAGCAATACTCAGGGGCTACTCTAGACTCAGTGCTCAAGTGATCATTCCTGGTAGTGCTGGGAAGCAAATCCAGGCCTCCTGCATGCGAAATCTGTGCTCAGCCCCTTGAGTTATCTCAAGGAGAGGATCAGAGTGGGTCCCTCGGAGAAGGCTCTGCACACAGAATGGTCCTGAGAGCCTCCATTTTAGCTGTGGGCCTTTCAGAGAAGCCTTAGAGACCAGGGCAGAGACCCAGGGCCGGGAAACTCAGAAAGAGACAGATCAGAGAGAGCAAATGAGATCAGTGTGTGTCTACCCCCAAGGAGTCGACTCTGAGGTGGGGCCCGAATTAACAATCCTGCCTTTCTGTCATGGCCCCATCGAGGCCTGCCCTGAAGAAATGAATGTCAACATTTTCCTCTGCTCACAGACCACTGTGAGCTTCCGCTTGCCCCGAGAATGAAATGGAATCGGGAGGCCTTCTCACCTCTCCCCAGATCCCTCCCCAACCTTCCAGCAGAGTCCAGAAGGGACACTGTTCTGAGTTACTGACTTCTTGGGGGAAATTCTTAGGAACAGAGAGTGCCAGTCTGCAGAGCAGTGTTGACCTCAGCAAATTCCCGGGTCAGGTGGGGGTGGGGGTGCTGTGTAATATCCATTTCATCCATTTAACATAGGAGGAAAGACGCAGGAAGATGAAGTGCTGCCCGTGATCACACTGCCTTAAGTGCAGCTTGCTGGTGGTTCCTGATTCAAACCCAGTCTAAGATCCCAGAACCTGAGCTTTGGACTCTCTCTCTCTCTCTCTCTCTGAATCCCGGAAACCTGCCACTCTCTACTGGGATTATGTGCTTGTGTGCATTAAGTGGGGTCCATCTGATTCAGAGTGAGGAGAAAGGGGTGCTGTGAGAGCTGTTTGTGAACAATCCGCTCCGGAGCCCTGACGTGAAGACTTCCGGGCTGAGAAGTCCCTTAGACCTCTTGGACCGTAGGGTCTGACCACCCGCCCTAACTGGGTCCACCATCATGCTGGATGCGGGCAGCCCTAGATGGACCTAGATGGACAGCAGCTCGGTCTTGGAGGAGCTGCTTTCTGTGTGGCCCGCCATAGTCCAGCAGCCAGGCCTTGGGCCTGCAATGGGTGTCCCGGCGGCAAAGGCCGGCTTCGGGGCACTTTGGGGCTGGGCCTGGGAGCACAGGGATGGGGGATGTGGCGGGATCCCGGCGGCCGGCAGGCTGGGGCTGCATCCAGCCTTGCATCCCAGCGCTGCAGGAGCCTCAGCCACCGCTCTTCATGGCTAACTCAGAGGTTCCTGGGAAATTGGTGGGACCCTGCGGGGCTGATCTGCCAGACTTGGAGAAGAACTGGCCAGAGCTGATGTAGGGGGTTGGGGGATGGCACCTATCTGAGACCGGGCTGCTGTCCACCCATGTGGCCAGGCTGCCCACAGCCAGCACGATAGTGGGACTGGTTAGGGTTGGTGGTCAGGCTCTAGGGCTCAAGACGCTGGTGTGCCAGAGAGATTTCTCATTCCAGAAATAATAACAATGTGTGCTTGGCGCCCTGGGTCTAGTGCGCCGCATCAAAGCCAGCACCGGGTCTCTGGAACCTTCTGTAGAGGACATCCCTGAGCAGACCCTGGGCACGGGGGCATTTCTCTCTTCTGTACCGCTTTCCTCCTTCTGACCCCTAGGTCCAGGCGTTTGGGCAGATGTGGCCCCAGTACTGGGACTCCGGCGAACCCTGGGGACATTCAGTTGCGGGGAGGGGAGAGGTCCCTGACTTTCCACCCCAGGAGGGCGTCAGCTGCGCTGCTTGCCCGTGTCCCCGCCGCCTGGGTTCCGCACCTTCCCGGGGCACTGTTCCTAACTTCCCGGGTTCAGGGCCTCCCCGCCGTACCTGACAGCTGCGAGGCGAGGATGAGCCAGCGGTGCAGGTGCATGTCGGCGGGCGCGGGACACCAGCTCCCGGCAGGGCTCGGCTCGGCCACCCGGCTGGGCTCGGGGTGCGAGGGGCGCGGCTCGTGGGGCGGCGGGAGGTGGGCGAGGCCTCGGAGCGGGTGGGCGTGGTCTCGCTGGGGGCGGGGCTTCGGGGGCCGTGTCCCGACCCTTCCCCCTCGCTGAGCTTTCCTGGGCTGCGTTTGCAAGGTCTGGGCTGCGTTTGCTGCGAGTCTGCTGGAGCCCGCAAAGAGGGGAACCCCTGGCCGTCTCCAGACAATCGCCCAGGTGTGGTCGCTCCTTCCCCCGTGAGGTGGGCAGGAAGGGAACTTGGTTTCCCTTGACAAGTTGAGCCCCCCGCAGCTCAGCAGCAGATCAGCATGCTGGGGTCCCGCGGGGGTGCGCGGAGGAGCGGCATCCAACTGGCTCTTGGTCTTTCCTTGGGGACGTGCAGGAGTAAATCCTGGGTGTCCTGGGCTCAAGGATCTCGGGGGGCCCCGGCCCAGCGGGCAGCTTCGGCCCAGGCCCGCCTCAAGCGCGACGCTGGGAAGGATGGAAAGAAAGTTCAAGGATAGTGGCACGAGGGGTCGTGCCTGAGAGCGTGCGCTGGGAACAGCCGGAGCTTGGACTTCAGAAGCCCCGGACCGGAGATTGAGCTGGTCCACCCGTTTCCCTCCACGCACATGGAATTCCTATTGTATCAAGTACCCAACCCCCTTTGGGTTTATAGAACTTGAATTTGGGTGCGGGGGCTCCCCAGCAACACGCCTGTGGACACACACCAGCTAGGACAGGTCAGCGCTCAGGCCCTGAGAGGCTATGCTCCTGGGCATAGACTCCTGGCAGGGTCGTACCCAGTGGCGCTTGCAGAGGTGTCGCTCTTGGGCTCTCCTGTGCGTCCACAGCCAAGATCCCTCGCATCTGTTCCTATCTGGGCAAGTTGGCTCCACGTGCATCCTTGTCGGTAGGAGAGTGTGTCCTAAAAGTCAAGACTGCTCAGAGTTTGTTTCCTGAAGCTTCTGTTGCCCAGGGCAGCGAGCTCGCAGCACTTGGCTCTTTGTCTTTGAAACTGACGTGAAATTCACACAGTGCAAAGGCATAGTGATCCCTGAGTGCAGATTCAGGAATAAGTTCTGACTGAGCACAACCGGGGTGAAGCTCCAAAACAAAGACCCCAAAACGCAGTCGGGAGAATTCTGCCCGAGGTCGGTCCAAGGGGCAGTGAATGAACTGTTTCAGCCCACTCTTCCGCAGTGCGGAGTGTCTTATCTGTAGGTTGTTGGCTGCACCTCTCCCAGCTGCGGGCTTCAGGACCTCCGGCGCAGCGCCCTCGTGCGCTCAGCGGCGGGACTGCAGCACTGCGCCCGGAGTCTGGGCCGGCCCGAGGACTTCAAGGACACAGACACCCAGGGGGTCCCGACATCCTGGACATCCTGAGGCCGCCGCCACAATCCGCCACTGACGTGGGACCTTTGTCTGCAGAGTCACCGCCTGTCAGAGCGACTCCGCAGGTGGAGTGAGCAGCGGCGTCTTAGTTTGCAATTCCAGTTGACCGCCTCTGCCCTTGTTGGCTCCGCAGTTTTTGGGTTTATTTTTATTTTTATTTTATTTTCAAGTTTTCGGTGCACAGGTTGTTCGCATTCTTGGTCAAACATATGCTTTGGCATTTTATTCCTTTCGGATGCTATTATAAATCTAGATACTTTTACAACGCAGTTGTTTTCTTAATTTCTTTTTTAGATAGCTTGTTGCTGGTATACAGAAGTAGGACTGATTTTTGTGTTAATCTTGTGCAGTTGACTTCTTGCGGGGTTGGGGACACACCAGGTCAAAGCTGACTCCTGGCTCTGCACCCAGGGATCACTCCTGGCGAGGCTGGGAACCAAATGGGATGTGGAAGATCAAACCCTGGTGAGCCACGTTCAAGGCAAACACCCTACCAGTAGTTTCTTTGAGGTCTTAAAATTTGGAACCTGTGGGACCTGTTTGTGCTCCAATTCTCCAGGGTTTGACTGATCAATGGTTGGCGGACAGGTGATGCCAGGCATTTACTTTGGGTATGGCATATGAAAGGCCCATACCCTAAACTCTGTACTATCTCCCAGCTCTAGTTTGTTGAACCACCCTTGCCTTCCTGGGATTAATCCCCCTTGGTCATGAAGTGTAACACTTTTTATGTGTATGTGGTTGAGGTTTGCTAGTACTTTGTTTAGGGTTGCAGCTGCTCTAATCATAAGGAATATTGGTCTCTAGCGTGATCTCTCTACAGACTGGCCCACTCAGCTACCCTGGCCAATGAAAACCTTGAGACCTATACCACATCCTGTTCTTCAATGAGGCAAAGGCACCAAGAACTGAGTCACCCTCCAGCTTTCCCCTTCATCCCCTGCAAGCTGAGCTGCTGCTAGAAAAGTTTCCTTGTCCCTCATGCCATTCATTTCACCCACGCAGACCTTTCCAAACGTGGAATACTGAGATCTTGTGGCTGTCCTGGATGAACTGAATCTCAGGATAGATGTGTGGCCAGATAGTTAATCCAGGCACTGCATTACCCAGTATCTCCCACATTAGCAGGTGACAGTCCTGGTGCCTGACTCTCGGCCTCATTCTTAGGGGTCAGTTACATGTGAGGAAGGCAAGGACCAGCCAGGGAAAAGAGCAGAGATGCCCTCTGGCTCTCCACTCACTGAGGAAACATTCCTCAATTCTCTGAGCCCCAGCTTTTCCATTGGAACAAATGACCCTCATATTGTGGGGGAGATGACGATGAAGATGTGTGACTTTCAGTAGTGAATTGCCACTGGAGTCCAGAGATGGCTCTGGTAAAGCACCTGCCTTGTCGGCGTGAAGCTCAGAGTTCCATCCCTGGCACAGCCCAGGTGTTGACTGTGATTCCAACGACCCTGCTGTTTCAGACCCCCAGGCCACAACAAAGAGTTTTTTTCCTCCCGTGCACTTCTCCTAAGTGTATGAGCACCTGCAACAGAATGTACAAAAGTCCTAGCATCACAACCACAATGAGAAGCGAGGGGGGTTAGAAAGAGAACTTTAATGTCCATGATCATGCCCTCAACTTATAGTTGAGTATCGTGGCTCTTTGGCCTGGCCCATTTCGATGCCAGGGTAGCTCACTGCTTGCCCTGGGTCCATTCAGTCCCTCGTCGGGACCCTGCTTTTGGGGTGCTAGGAACTAAGGGCAACTGAGTAAAGAAATCAGATGCCCAGGAATAAATATTATTCGGAGTCAATCAACTCCCAAGTTACAAAGCATAATATTAACTGTCTTCCTGTGTCCACACAGAAAGGACATTACTTACAATACAAGTTCAGTGTTCTTAGATGGGTGTGACCTGACAAACCTAAGCTACCTGAGGAAAGACAAAAGAGTGTTATCCTACACTTTAAGTTGGGTTGGGAGCTAAGATGGTATGAGGTGTTTGGGAAACCGCCTCACACACACATTCATTGGGAGCTGAACTGATTCAACAGAACCAGGCTGGATTTTTCAAAAAGCTCCAGCCATTCAACCTCAAAATGTTTCCATCCTCCAGGCACTGTTTAGATAGAGCTATCCAGAAATTCTTCCAACATTGGCTCTCAAATGACTCCTCAACCTTACCTCCAATGCGTTGTGTTTGAAGTAAGGCATGTTTAGGTGGCTGTGGGCATTCATACTTACCATTAATTACCCATAGTTGCATTCCAACGAATAATTTCTTTTAGCTGACTTTGGAAAGTGCTGAACAAATGAAAGGATTTTTATAAATCGAATAACACTTGTCACAAGGGAAAGGGTTTTGTCAACTTACATACAATGCAAACAAAAGCTGAAGTCAGGGAGAGGTGAACAGTGCAGAAGTTGGGAAGATGCCTCAACGCTGAACTGAGACTTCAGAGCTGCAGAGCACAAGAGAGACCTACCTGGGCACTGCTTCCTCTGTTGCACTTACTGTGCCTGGACACAGTCTAAATCACATCTTTTGTATTTTAAAAAATATTTCTTGGGCGAAGTGATAGCACAACGAGTAGGGTGTTTGCCTCGCATGCGGTCGACCCGGGTTCGATTCCAAGCATCCCATATGATCCCCTGAGCACCGCCAGGAGTAATTCCTGAGTGCGTGAGCCAGTAACCCCTGTGCATTGCCGGGTGTGACCCCCCCCAAAAAAAGCAAAAAAAAAATTCTCGTTGGGGCTGGAGAGATAGTACACAGCAAACCCAGGCTCTATTTCTGGTATCCCATAAGGTTCTCTGAGCGTCACCAGGAGTGCTTCCTGAGTGCAGAGCCAAAAATAATCCCTGAGCATCACTGAGTATGGCCCAAAAACAAACAAACAAACGTCTTGTTATTATAGTTTAGAATTACCACGTTAGTGTTATACTGTTTGGGCTTATGGCATTGATGTACAGTTAATGCCCTCCTTCACCACCAAAGTGTCCATGACCCAACACCATTGTCTCCTCTGGTCCAACCTTCCTTCTCTCTCCCAGCATGACTCCAAACTCTCTAGCTATGTTCCTGTGTTGCTTCTAGTCAACCTTATGGTTCCCTCACCCCCTTTAAAGTCACTCCTGGAAACCAGGTAGAACAAGCAATGAATCACATCTCAGAGACTGTTGGGGAGAAACATTACTTGATTCTTCCAGTCCCTGAGACTTTAATTTGCAATTTAGGTAAATGGGGCTGAGTTACCAGCCTTGCCTATCTTGCTGGGTTGAATACAGGGACAAAGTAAATTGGAGAATTGATTTTATTATTTTATAATAATAATCCCTCTCAGAGAGCCCGGCAAGCTATCGAGAGTATCCTATCCGCATGACAGAGCCTGGCAAGCTCCCGTGGCATATTTGATATGCCAAAAACAGTAACAAGACTCACAATGGAGACATTACTGGTGCCCGCTCGAGCAAATCAATGAACAACAGGAGGACAGTGCTACAGTGCCATAATAATATTTTGTGTGTGGGGGGGGGCAGGGGGGGCAGGGTGTATAGCCAGCAGCACTCGGTGGTTACTTCCAGTTCTAAGTTCAGGGCTTTCTCCCAGCAATGTTGAAG